GCAATGCGTTATGGCCGAAAAATCCAGGCAATTAAGCCGATTTATCGAAAGGTTAGAATTAGTCAAACTCTGGCCATTAGTGTTCGTCTCCCATTTGTCCCCGCTTCAAGCGAACGTAACCAACGTCGAGTCTGCGTCTCACCGCCAGCAGAAGACGAAGTGGCTCTTCATCAAAGGCGAGGAATGACGCGTGTTCAAGTGGAGCAGCGAGCATGTCAACAGCTCTGCCCCCCCAACTTCCCGGCGCCGAGAATTCTGTCAAGAGAGCATGACAGATTCGAGGCATCGCGAAAAAAGTGAAGTCTTTTAAACAAGCGCCCAAGTTACGTAACTCTGCTTGCCGGCCGAAAGTCAAAAGGTCGTTGCCTCCTCTCATCGAGAGGATAATAAACTAAATTTTATGAAAATATGAAAATTTCCGGCGTCGCTGTCGCAAAAACAGGCTCTGAAAGGAGATGATATTGTCCCACATTCATTTGCATTGATGAAAAGATTAGTTGGTTGTTGTCATTCGGAGGCCACAGCAGACTCCTTGACCCAGTGTTGGCTCGAGGTCGTTGCGAGAATGAGCTCCGGATGTGATGACGCCATTCACGTGATGAAGGAGAGCAGAGTTCGGTTTCCCGAGAGACGACGGTGTCAATCTGTACCTCGTTTTAGAGACGAATGGCGGCAGAACTCCGGAAATTGGCCGTCGTCTTCCGGCGAAAGGAGACAAAGAATCTCTTCAACTTGCCGTTGCTCATTGCATATTCCAATCGAATTCCTAATCTTTCGTGACATTTATGCTGGTTAACGCCTTGAGAGGTGGACTCGAAGCCAACCTTTTTAACTGAAATGTGTTGCAAATCACGTTTTATCAATTCCAAAAGTCTTTTATCCTTACATTCTTTTGCAGAGCATCGCATCGCATCGCTTGATTCCCGCAAACGATATGAAAAAGTAATGGATTAAATGAAACTAAATTAAAATAAAATAAAATAAAGAAATAACTGCCTCCTCCCGATAATTAAATAGACGTATATCCGAAAAATTGACGAAAATTAAGAAGAACAGTATCATTTTATATTAATTTTTATTCACATTCTCTTAAAACTGCCATCTACTTTACAGGCTATAGTTTTAGCGCCTTTTAAATAGGTCTTAAATTTGTATTAAAGCTAAATAACTTTAGACTTTGCGAGACCTCTTTTTGTAGTTATTATTTTTTAGTTGTATACGCGCACGATAATCTTGCTAGCAACTTATAAAATATGCAGTCGTTTTCAAGATTAAAGTGAATCGAAATCTGCTTGTGCACATGTTAGTGCTTGCGAGGATGCGAATAGGTACGGATGTTAAAAATGAAAAATATTGAATAACAGTGCTCCAGAATTCAGACTTAACTGCTCGAATAAAGACTCTGTTTCTGTGTTTGCATGCGTCCCGGCCGAGCAAAGGAGAAAATTAAAAGAGTCTGGCAAGCATCTTGTTTGATGCACCTCCAACAACGGACGAAAGGAGCAATCCTCAAACTTCTTTGCTTCTGTTATGAAAAAAGGAAAGAAAGCATGTGAAAATATGCTCTCAACCAAAAGCGATAACTGAGCATTCTTGCTCAATCCTCACTTTATCAGATTTTTCGGTAAGCCGAGATAGCCAAGTTGAAGGCCCATTTGGTAATAAGAGAGAAGAGTGTTTGCACTCTTCACTTTCTACTGAGCAAATGTTTTAATTGAGCCGGTCAAACGAGCAACCACTAATTTGTTGCCTTATCATCTAATTTTGTTTCATCCCTCCACGATAAAGAATAATTGGATTAGCAAGGTTTAATCCAATTTTCGCCTCGATATACACCGAGACCGAACTCAAAGGGTCAGAGACAACACCGAACCCTCCCAAAAGAGGTGTCTAAGCAAGCGGGTTTCGCGATGTGCGGTGGCAGCCCAAGTGGCTTGAATAAAATGTAATTGGTGGTCAAAGTTGTTCTAATACTTTACAAGCCTTCAGTCATAATTGGGCAAAATTTCATATTCTAAGAATTTGTCAATGCTTGCTTGGTACTTCTTAGTCGGACTGTTTAACTACTCATGAGTAGCTTAAAAAAAGTAAAATTCAAACTTTAATCACTTTTATGCTTGTGGAATTCGGATTCGAGACTATCGGTAGATCGTGAATAAGATCTGTGCCGTTTCAGGTAGTGAAGGATGGGTAGATGAATAAAATTTCTATTTTCTACTACCTGAATCCAACTTGTATGAAAGCAGTTCGTATTCACGACTTTGTGGTGACGGAGGAGGCCTGCCTGGGCTTTAGTCAATTCATCTTATAGAAGAATAAC